TTTCTCAGAACAAACTGATGCTTCTAGCATCGGCCGCCAGTAACTTGTCTGCTGCTACCTGGCACTACCAGAAGTAAGACTCAGGTCTCACATGCATGTCAATTTCCATTAACAGTTTAAGTAAATTTAACAAATTTGGAATAAAATTCCTAAAACTTGAATGAACAAATGTTCCTTTTATGTGAGACAAAATCCCTTCTTTGATCTTACCTGCAGACAGGGGAAAATCGGCTTGAACTCAGCAGGGGGACATGTCTAGTTAACATGTGGTTTAAATTTATGGCATTTCACAAGAATCTCAAGGTTATCAACACCATAAAACTTAATCTTGGGCTTTATAATTTACACTAAGTGAGAACACCTTAATTCCTGAGGAACTGAAGGTATAAAGGCAGTGGTCAACTTGTGAATTCTATAGTTTTGTAGCCTTAAGTACAAACTTTCACTTTTCCTTCCTGTTATATTAGCTTAATACTGAGAAATCCAAGTTAAATGAAATGAAAATTTAAATTATAATGTATTTGAAAATATTAATTTTATTAGAATATATTTATATTAACTTGGTTTAATTACATTTTTCTTTAATATACAACAAGGGCTTGGAGAAAGTTTTAAAATGGCAGTTGTTAGAGAAAGGGTTAAAATTAATTTAATTTAATTTTTTAGTTTTCTGCGGACCCGGCATGTTTTTTCATGGACCGGTACCAGGTCGTGGACTACACTTTTGGAAACGCTGGTATAGAACATCATCTTGTAACAACAAACTGCTGTAGAGTACAGACTGGTAACATTAGAGTCAGCTTAAAGATTTAGTGTAAAACATCATCATATAACAAAAAACTGCTGTAGAGTACAGACTGGTAACATTAGAGTCAGCTTAAAGATTTAGTGTAAAACATCATCATATAACAAAAAACTGCTGTAGAGTACAGACTGGTAATGTTATGATCTTTTTAACAATTGTCGTGCAGAAATGACTGGTGCAGCTTCATATTCGTGACAAACAATGTACTTCTGTCATCTGGTAATTCTAGAACAACTAAAAATTAACCTGCAAGCTATTTTAGCTCTTTTTATGGCACCTTTAATACTGCATTCTTTGTTAAATGAAGGTTAGCCATATTACTACTCACTAATGGCTCCTTCAACGTAATATTCTCTGTGTTAATAAGGTTTGCCATATACTGCTGACTAATGGCACAGTCAAAGCTGTATTCTCTGTTAAATAAAGGTTGGCCATATTACTACCGAGTAATAGCACCTTCAAAGCTGTATTCTCTTTGTTAAATATGTTTTGCCATATACTACTGACTAATGGCTCCTTCAGTGCCATATTCTCTGTGTTAGATAAGGTTTAAGTAAGTTAGATTTTCAAAGAAAATTAGGATATTCTCAATTTCATAAGTATTCAACCCCTTTGCTACGGCAACCTTAAATCAGTTCAGGTGCAAAATATTAGTTTGAAAGGTCACAGAATTAGTGTAATGGTTTCTGTCTGTGTGTAATCAAAGTGATTTAACTTGACTTCTGAGTAAATGCATCTGTTCAAACCACAACTCGCATAGTGATATGACAAACCAACCATGAACACCAAGAAGCTTTACAAACAAGTCAAGGATAAAGTGATAGAGAAGCACAGCTCAGTAGAAGGTTAAAAGAAAATTTCAAAGTCATTGATTATCTCTATTAGTATGGTGAAATCCATCATTAAGAAGTGGAATGTGCTATATACCACCCACAGTTACTACCCAGATCAAGCTGACCTTCCAAACTAAGCAGCCTGGCAAGCAGGAAATTGGTTAGGAATTCCACTGTGAAGCCAACAGTGACTTTGAAAGATTTGCAAAGTTCCATGTCTGTAATAGGAGTCAATGTTCATACATCGACAGTATCCCAATCCCTATATAAAGCTGGCCTGTATAGGTGAGTGACAAGAAAGAAGCCATTACTGAAAAAGAATCATCTTAAATCTCGTATGGAGTTTGTGACAAAGCATATAAATGATACTGTAGACATGTGGCAGAAGGCTTTATGGCTTTAAGGGTTTTTGATCAGATGAAAGGTTTGCAGCATCATATAGAGCAAAACATTCTATCCTGTTTAATTACAACAATCAAGATTTTTACTCTTTTATTGGCCATTTATATTTGTACTGTTATCACCCTCCTGAATTTTTCCATCTTCAGCTTGTATTCTATGATTTGTAAGTTCTTCAAAAATGACCCCTGTAGTCACCTCACATTAATCAAATGAATAAAATTCTCTTAATTTTTTTCATTCCATGAATGTTCATCATTCTTAAAACTACTCACACCTACTTCTCAGGACTTATGTCAGGGGTTATATCCCCCTTTCAGAAAATATTGCTTAATACATTTACCTTCACTGTCAACTGTACTTGATGACATATGTCAGGTGTACAGTCCACCATGTTGTAATATTGCTTAATACATTTTACTGGCAACTGCTCTTGACAATTGATGATAGACTAATACTTAATATGCTTAATTTTACTGACAGCTACTCTTGGTGACCTATGTGAGGGGTACTGACAGCTGTTCTTGATGTATCTGAGGGATACAGTCTATCATGATAGAATATTGCTTAATACACTTTACTGCAACTGCTCTTGATGATGTACATGAGGGGTACAGTCCATCATGACAGAATATTGCTTAATACACTTAACTTTACTGACAGTTGCTCTTGATGACGTATGTCGAGCATACAGTCCATTATGATAAAATATTACTTTATACACTTAACTATAATGTTAATGTTTAATAGTATGATATTACTCTGTTATTTTCAGGAGTTAAGGCTCAAATAATTATTTGAAGTCTTCAAGAAAAAGAGATCATAGGTATTAAGTTCATTGTAGTCTGATGATAAAGGTTTTAGTAATTTTTATAAAGTAACATCTGTGTACATTATTGGTAAATTTCAGGACACGTTTGAAAGAGGGATGGAGTTCCATGCCAAGTGCACAGTTTTTGCTGAAGGTTGTCATGGCCATTTAGCAAAACAACTTTATAAAAAATTCAACTTAAGAGAAAATTGTGATCCACAAACATACGCAATTGGTTTAAAGGAACTCTGGGAAGTTGATCCAGCCAATCACCATCCTGGACGAGTGGAACACACAGTTGGTTGGCCACTTGTAAGAAACTTTGACTCATAAAAGAGGATGTCAAATAGAAAAACATGTAAATAATGATGTTAGCTACTTAGTTTAATAACCAGATCTGCCCAGTATATCCCAGATCTAGAATAATTTTAACCAGATCTAACCAGTATATTCTTCATCTAGAATTATTTTAGTCAGATCTGCTCATATATCCCGAATCTAGAATAATTTTAACCAGATCTAACTGGTATATTCGTCATCTAGAATTATTTTAGTCAGATCTGCTCAGTATATACAGGACCTAAAATAATTTTAACCAGATCTAACCAGTATATTTCTCATCTAAAATTATTTTAGCCAGATCTGCCCAGTATATCGCAGATCTAGAATAATTTTAACAGGACCTAACCAGTATGTTCCAAAACTAAAATTATTTTGCCAATATCTCCCCAACATATCCCAGACATAGAGTAATTTTAACCAGATCTGTTAAGTATGTTCCAGGTCTATAATAATTATAGTCAGATTGACCAATATGATAGAGAATTAAAATAATTATAGCCAGATCTGTCCAGAATGTTCCATATCTAGGATAATTGCAGCCACATCTGTCCAGTATAATACATTAGAATAACTCTGTATTCATTTTGTCATATCATAATGATTTGGGACAGGAACATTTAGTTATATCTAATATTTTATTTTTGTCTGACCTTAAAAATATATGTTATTTCAAATCTTTAATTAATTGTTTCCTTTTTCTCCCCTGTCCAATAAAAGAACAGCTTTCATCCACTTGTAATGTGTTCAAGTTAGTAACTTCTATGATATTGTATTTCACTTTTTTTAGGAAAGAACAGCATATGGAGGATCGTTCATTTACCACATAGATGAAGGGCAGCCACTAGTATCAATAGGCTTTGTGATTGGCTTAGATTACCAGAATCCCTACCTCAATCCATTTAGAGAATTCCAAAGGTTTAAACTTCATCCACATATTCGGTCAATACTAGAAGGAGGAAAACGAATTGGCTACGGTGCGCGAGCACTAAATGAAGGAGGGTTCCAAGTAAGATATTTGCTCTGTCTGAAGAGATTTATAATAAGTTACATTAAGATTTATAATACCTTACTGACAAGTATAACATCTTTTTCATATTAAAGCAAATAAAGAAGGCAAATAACAAGGCAAATTAATGGTGATAAGAGAATTAGTTTGTTAATTTGTGGCAATCTGACAGAGCTAATCAGAGCAGGTTAATGGTGATAGGAGAGTGAGTTTGGTAATGCAGAATAATCTAACAACTGATCAGAGCAAATTGGTAACAGGGGAGAGTCTGAAGGATAATCTCACAGAACTGATTAGATCAAATTAATAGTGATAGGGAGATAGTATGTTAGTGCAGGATAATCTGACAGAATTGATCAGTTAATTTGTTAATTCAGGATAATATGACAGAACTGATCAGTTAATTTGTTAATACAGGATAATCTGACAGAACTGATCATTTAGTTTGTTAATACAGGATAATTTGACAGAAGGGATCAGGATAATCTGATGGAGCTCATCAGTTAATTTGTTAATACAGGATAATCTGATGGAGCTAATAGGTATTAATATAAATCTTGATTATAAAATTAATTTGTTTCTTATTCTAGATGTTAGTAACATTTTTCATTTCTCCAAATACTTTGATTGCTTTAAAATATAGTTATTATTGTAACTAAACTCAAGGCTCTATTTGAGGTGAATAGACAAAAAAACTGGTATTGAACTCTCTCTTTTTTTTTTGCATTCTACTGCTTTTGAAAAATTTATATAAGTTTACACTGAACTTGGGTTTCTTTGAGATCCAAGAATATTTGATAAAAATGTATTAATTTATTTGGATTACTGTTAAAAAGAAAATTAATATTGCTGTGAGTTCTTTTGAAATTCATGAAGGTTTTGGTGTTTTGTGGAAGATAAAAAATTTAGCTTAGATGTAACAAAACTCTGTTAAACAAGTAATGTCTTTCATTTTACAGAGCATTCCAAAACTTACTTTTCCTGGGGGCTGTCTCGTTGGTTGCAGTCCTGGATTTATGAATGTACCCAAGATCAAAGGAACTCACAATGCTATGAAAAGTGCTATGTTAGCTGCTGAAAGTGTTTTTGAAACTATTTGTGATGACACTCAGTCATCTCCAACTACTGGTAAGAACTCTCAGATATCATTTCTTAATGTTGGTTGTTTTATTTGTCTCATGACTCTACAGTACAGTATGATAACTCTCAGCCACCTCCAATATTGATAAAAGTTCTCAGAAATAAGTTCTTATTGTTTGTTGTTTTATTTGTCTCATGACTCTACAGTACAGTATGATAACTCTCAGCTGCCTCCAATATTGATAAAAGTTCTCAGAAATAAGTTCTTATTGTTTGTTGTTTTATTTGTCTCATGACTCTACAGTACAGTATGATAACTCTCAAGTTTAGTTTTTTAATTGACATAACTGGACATGTAACACTAATAATCATAAGTTTAGTTTCTGATATGGTCTTACCTTTTTTCACACAAAGCTATCTCAATCTTCTTTATGCCCTCTAAGCACTGCTAGAAACAATTTTAACACTCAGTGCACTACTCTATATACCCCACATATTACTCACCACTTTTGAACATGTGTATAGTATGTGACCACCCTCCACCAATAGTGCTGCACCACTTATATAAATGCAGCTGGCTCCCTCTGAAGTTCTCGCTTAATCCTCAATTTCTCAATTTGGCAAAGTATCATTTAGACGTATGTTTTTTCACATGTGACTACAATTTACAATTGTACTTTATTGACATTTCAATACCATTTTCAACAGTTTTACTGTGTTTGCATTCAATTGCTTAATTTTTTTTTTTTTACATTTGTTTATTGTTGCCAAATTATACGGTAATTTAGAATCTCTTCATGTTTCAGTATATCGGCAACTGATATCCCTGTTACAGTAAACAGTGCTTCTGGTATGACTACCCATTCATTGGGTTCAACTTTATCTGCTAAGGAGGTACAGGCCTTAATTCACAGTGAGTTACTTTTGTACGTTTGGTAGTGATTTATTCTGTTTTAACCTGAAAAATGTTTGTGAGGATGAATACAATCAAGGAGATGAAACTTGGATTCACTTTTTCCAGCACCTTCTTATATTGGTTTGTCACACTCTACACCCCTTTTTTTTTACAGCTGATTAATCAGGTATGTGTTATAATACATTTCCTTTTCCTCCTAGCTTGCAGATGTCATCCATCAAATTTTTATGCTATTAATGTTACCAGAATCTTTTACCATTCCTCTTATGTCATCATATATCCAGATTGGTCCTTCCTCCTTGAGACCTCTGTTGCCTATCAAAGCCATTTGGCTTTCACACCCATTTCTTTACCTTCCATATCCCACCTGTACTCCCATTCTGATCCCTATCGGCTTCCTTCTCAAGTTTGCTCCCTACTGTGTTATGTGGCATGTACTTTCAGTGTTCACATTCCTGACCTTTTATTCCATGGAACCCTTCTGTTTCCTCATGATCTATCCCCTGTCACACTAACTGGTTGGGTTTGTAAACTCCTTAGGCTGGTGTATTCAAACTTATCCATGAAATATTGCCATCTCCTCAGTGTTACATCTCATCAAATTTGTCATATCACCATGTCTTTGGCTGCTTGTCTTCACTGTTTGTTGGAGGAAATTGTTCAGGCTAGAATATGGACTACTCATTATTCCTTCATTGCTCATTATCTGCACTATCTGACTGTATCTTTCTCAGGTGGATATCATCTCTCTCCTGTGGTGATTCTACACATGTCTGTTTACATTGACTTGATTATGTCTTTTCACAACATTTCATTTTTTTTTTTTTTTTCAGGGACTCTCTTTCACTGCTACTCATAGGATCCCACTCTGTAGCGAGTGTTGCCTGGTCATGTGTGCTTTTATTCAAATCTGAACTATATACACTAACTGTAGAGATGGGATGTTCCACAAGACCACTGGTGGTATATACATTTCTATAGTTATCCATCTGTTTAACTTAATGATGGGCTATCATGAGTAAAGCAAAAGGAGATTTCTGCCTATCCCTGCTGACCCTTTGATTGCATAAATCAAGGACAGTCAGCTTTTCAAAATAGGGAATCATGGACACCCATTGCACTTTTTCTAGTGTGAAATTCCTCTGGACTCCCTATCACAGTTACTTCCCCCATTTTTTCTCCTAGTGGAGCATGGGAGTGCTTAAAACTTACCAGTTACCAGTCACTGTGGTGTTGGACCAAGGATTCTTCCTCCTGAGTGTGAATTAGAAATTTCCTTACAATACAACCACACATTTATCTAGAAGAGGGCAAAACTGAGTTCTGTTTTTCCCTTTCTCCAGTATGCTTATTCCCAGGTGGACTTTGTCTGCCTCATAATACCAGCAACAGGATGTACATACACTGTTCCTACAGTTGAGCAAATTGTCCACATCCTTCTTGTCAATCTGAGTGTAGGATGTGTCTTCCCTGCATTTATGGTCGAGTGAGTTACAATTTCCGCCCTTAATACTGGTTACAGGTATTGCCCTGTTCTTATGGTTGAGTTGAGGCCATGACATGACCCCATAATGCCTAGTTCGGTTTGTTATGCTTCTTGCACCTACAGTTATTTTGGGAGTTTGTCCTGTTTTGGCCAAATGCTAACTTCCTCTTCTTAATTCTGGTTGCTTGATATGTGACAATCTGTTTACTTATGGTTGGGGTTGGTGTATATATGACATGGTCCACATGCCCTAGCCACAATGTTTATGTTACTCTAATTTCGTTTTTATCTGGGTAATCCTCAACCTCCTAATGCCGAGGACAGGTTGTGGAACCTCATCTGTCTGATTGAGGTTGGGTAGGTACCTAGCCAAGACTAGTTGTTTTTCTCCATCGTTATATTTTGGTGAACTGTCCTTGAACTTGCCATTTGTCCTCATGTAGGTATCAAGTTCACTTCAAACTTTTGTTTAATAGAGCAGCTCTTCACCTATGAGAGGTGGCTGTTTTCCGATCTGATTTGTGCAATGAAGGACAATTCGAACTTGCGCTGTTTTTCATTATGGATTGCACCTTACTCAGAATGAATTAAGCTTGTGCACATCCTTTTTTTTATGCCTGTGTCAGGTTCATGTCCTTCTTATAGGGCGAAGAGCATACCTGTTATCTCTGAGCACACTAGTTATTTCTAGGCAGTCGCTTTCTGCTTGGTTTCACTGTTAGGCACTTACACTGTCCTCTCCACCTTTTCAATGTAGAATTCTAGCTTTGTGTTAGTGAAGGTAAGATCATATCAGAAGTTAACGTTTTCTTACATTGAACATGAATTACCAATAGGTACTTCCCCCCATCTCACACACTTCCCAAATTCGTCCCCACTGTCAGTGTTATTTATTTTAGATCCTGCCAATTCTCGAATGTGATTATTGAGCGGGAACTTCAGTGGGTTCAATATAGGTGGTGCATTACTGTTTGTGGAGGGTGGTCACATGCTATATACATGTTCAAAAGTTGTGCAGAATTTGTGGAGCATATAGATTGGTGCGCTGAATGTTACAAATTTTTTTAGCAATGCTTAGGAGGCAAAAAAGTAGGTCAAGATAGCTTTGTGTGAGTGAGGTAAGTACCTATCGGAAATACATTTACAGTGTAAGAAAATGTTAACTTTTAATTGAAATAAACAGGTCACATAACACTTAAAACTATACTTATGTTAAGTTTATTGGTTGAATTAACATCAGCATGTTGATAAATATTTTGCCAATTATAGATATTAATCTATAATTTTTTATTCTAGTTTAGCAATAATGAATATTATTAAAATTTTTAAGATCTTAATGTTTAAGGTTGGATAACTTTAATAGAGTAGACATAGTAATGTTGAAATATTGGGTTAAGAACTGTAATTTTTGCTTTGTAGGTGTTGACCCCAAAGTGTATGAAGATAAAATTCGCAATAGTTGGGTATGGAAAGAAATTAGATCAGTTCGAAATATCCGTCCATCTTTCCACTCTCCACTTGGAATATATGGAACTTTAGCATATGGTGCTGTCTTCTACATGCTGCTTCGAGGAAAAGAACCTTGGACACTCTCTCACAGTGGTGTGTAACCAGTTGATTTGTACTAAATTATTGAGATGGATGGAAATAAGAGTTAACATGATTTCTTAATTCACAACAAATTATTCATAACACATTGTTACCTTGATTGTTTTTTTAGCTTTCTTCTTGTGTATTTTTAGGAGCTGATTATCAAAGACTAAAACCAGCATCAGAGTGTAAACCTATTGAATACCCTAAGCCTGATGGAATAATTACCTTTGATCTGTTATCTTCTGTGGCTCTTACTGGGACCAATCATGAAGATCAACCTCCTCATCTAACTCTAAAGGATGATACAGTTCCAGTGAAAAGGAATCACGCCATCTTTAATGGACCAGAACAACAATTTTGTCCTGCAGGTATTTGATTCTACTCAGTTTTCAAGTTAACATTATAAGCCTTTTATTAGAAAATTGATTTTGTAACTGTTTGTACTATATGTGCTGTTCTTATATTTTTAAACATGTAAAGACATTTCTTGGCGGATCTCACAACTGTAGGTAAAGTAAATTGATTTGTGTGTTAAAAGTGTAGGATGTAGTCAAGATTTATACAATAAGTTAGGAAGTAATTTGGCTGAACTTAGGCTCTAGGTTAAGTAGATTAATATTTGGGATTAGTTACCCCCACATTTCATCACTCAAAGATGTTGTCTCAGTGGGAGTTGCCAAATGAGTGGAGATCAATGGATACTGCCTGAGGATTGCATAACTATTACATAATACATACAGATGAGGATTGTTAATAAGTGTTACATACACGTGAGGGTTGTTATATAACTGTCACATGATATGCAAAATACCTGTAGTTTGAGTACTACTCACCAGAAGGTGGGTTGCTAGACCACTATGACACTTGACTAGCAGAAGTTTTCTGCCGCCAGAGGGCATGTTGATATGAAGATCCTGCAAATAGTTCATGATTGAACCACCAGAGGGTGACAATTCAACATTAACTTTATAGTAACAATCAGTCTTAATATTCATAATTTAATGTAATATGTATAACATTGTGTTTACAATTACCAGTATTGTAAAGGTTTTCATCAGTTTCACTTTATTTTTTGCTTATATATTGTGTACATTTTAAAAAGGCAGATGGTGTTTTTATAGGTGAATAGTGTTACTAAGGGTATTGTTACTATAGGTGGATAGCTCAATAGAATGATGAGCTCATTGTAAGATGTCTCAGTATGTGATTATGTCATCAATGTTTAGATATAATTAATTAAAATGTTACAAGTAAATCCATTATTTTAAGGAAACAACTATTATAACACTGTTACACATGTCAGATTTTATCATACATGTTATCCATTATTTGAATGAAGCAAATATTATAACCAGTAACTTACCTTACATACTTTCACAATTATGTGTCCCGAAAGAATTTTATCATACCTAATGTTTCATTTTTATAAGTATGGAATGAGACAGTCAATTTTGTTTTTTATGATTACGGTTTTTGATTCTATAATTAATTTGCATGACATACCTTTTTACATTTTCTTATGTCTTATATGTAAAATATTTGTCGTTAATTCCTTTCTATAACTAATACATAATATTTATCCATCCTGAAAAGAATGCTTATTTAAATCTCATGTTTTGCTTTATAAGTTGATTTGTTCCACTAGAGTTTAAAGAGTCTATGTAAATAACTATTTTTAACCATTGCTAGAAAATTATAATCTCGCCTTTCTGTTGAAAATATTTCACATCATGATGATGACAAAACCTTATCGAAAAGTACACTTGCTGTTATGTTAAATTAATATTAAAGTTTTTCTTTGTTACCCATTTAAGCCATCTCTAAGCATTATTAATCTCAAAGTGGGTTCCTCGTCATTGAATTTGAATTCAGTTGAGGCTGTCTGTGACCTTATTCGTTGTCAGATGGAGACATCTATTAGGTCCGGAGGCACCCTTCCAAGGGGCTCTGAGGCTGCTTTTGTTGATGATCCAGGACAGTTTGAAAATAATTTGGACTCTCTTTTTCCGACACTTTTGTTTACTAAGTTGGTTTCTCATTAGGACAATTTGGATCAGCAACCTACTGCTACATTTCTTCATATAATCAGTTTAGTTTGTGAGGTTTGGGGACTTTCTCCGGTTGCCTCTGAATCTACTCCATTCTTGATGACTGAAAGGTCTGAGGGTGACTACTGCTGATAATGCTGGGAGATTTACTGCTCTATTACATTAAAGGATAGATATACCTTTGCCCCCCTCATTTGTTTGAATAGAATACTTTGGCTTACCACCGATAGGTAGACATATATTTTGATTCCACAGACTAAATCCTCTCTTGGATATGTGGAGTTCCAGACCCTGTGATCACTGAACAGATCACAATTTCTGAGATTCGTTTGACCCTCACTCTTGTTCTGAGACCCCCCCCCCCATTCCACTGCAACAAATTTTGTCAGAAGCCTATCAGTGGTTCCCACATCAATTTGAGGACGTCTTGGGTCTTTTGCTATTTCTACCTTAGTAAGATTGTCAATTTCTTTGGTTTCCTGTCTTGTATGTTGTTGGGATTTATTGGGTAGAGATGCCTTGTGGGAGGGAGTTTTTCTACCTGCTGTAGCCCTCCTTGAGTTAAGTGAGACTCCTTTTCTTCATCCCTTGATGTTTGTTGGCATCCCAGAACAGTTGGAGTCACAAATTGATGTCACTCGCTTGCATTTTTTCTTTGTTGTTTTTGTCCTCTAGACTTTCTTTGGCTACTGTTGTAAGTCATGGTGCTACTGCTTCTATTCCTTACACTATGGCTACTCTGAGTAGATTCTGTCCTTAGTTTCAAGGCTCCTCTGCTGGGGCACACCATCGCCACTGTCCTCAATGACTATCTTATGTGGGTGGGGTCTGTAGGAATGAGGTTACAAGAATTGAAGGACACCTGGAATTCCTGTACCACAGATCCATGGGTACTTCAGGTTCTAGCATCAAGGTTGGTCATTCTGTTAACTTTACCACCTGCATTATCCTCGCCCCTGTCGTATTTCCACCCCCAACAGATCTGGAGAGTATGGATCTTCATTCCAAGCCTATCAGAGAGTTATTGGTCAAGGGGTGATACAGAGAGTCAATCCCATTCTTCTGGGTTTTTATTCCCGTTTATTCGTTATACCCAAAAAGATGGGAGATTGGTGGCTGATCATCGATATTTCTCCTTTAAATCAGTTCTTAGATCCTCTCAGGTTCAAAATGGAGTCTTTTCTCAATCCACGTTGGCATTCTTCACCAGGTCTGTGAATGACCAAGGTCGATGTTGCTGATGCACATCTACACATTCTCATAGTGACGTCATCCTGCCACTATCTACATTTCGTGCACAGGGGTCAGGTTCTGCAGTTCAGGGATCTAACCTGTGGCCTAGTATCTGCACCATATGCCTTCTGAAGAGTTGTACAAGTTTTTCTTGTCACCTTCATACTTTGGGCATGTGCACACTCCATTATCTGGATGACTGGTTACTTCTAGCACTATCTCATCAGTTGGCAGAACAACATACCCAGATTCTGCAAGGCTGGTTTTCTTATCAGAGCCGAGAAATCCATTCTCTTGCTGACTTACAATATTGTCCATCTGGGTGTCTTTTTCAACATGTTTTATGCCAGGCTCAGCCAACTCCCATCCATCTCCAGGCTATGGAATGGGCAGTCAGGCTCTTATTTATGTGGATGGTTCTATCTCTTTTAGGGATGTGGGCATTCCACGAATCTTTGATTCCTTCAGGATGAGCACACATGTGGTCCATTCAGTGGTCACTGCACAACCAGTGGATCATGAATTTTGATCCACCTGGATCATCCAGTCTCCTTCACCAGGAGCAACTTCTTAGTTCTCGAGTGGAGGTTGAATCAGATCAACACTACCACTGGTGTTCCTGTACTGCCCCTTTTCCTGAATTTCATTTCTTAACAGATGCCTCACTTCAGGGATGGGTGTGTATATCAATGGTCATGAATTTCAGTGTCTATGGATGGAAGACAAATCTTCCTTCCACATCAATAATTGAGAACTTCTTCAGGCAAAGGTTCAAGGTCTAGATCTATTGCAGGGGAAAATTGTCATAATTCATTCCATCAATTCTACAGTGGTCTCTTATATTTCTCATTCTGGGGGCATGCATTCTCGGGACCTTTGTTTTCAAACTTTGGATATTCTTTACTGGTCTCACTCCCATCATACCAGCCTCCTGGCTTGTCATGTTCCATTGGTGATGAATTTCACCTTACTTGGCCCAATTGAATTCTCCCGAATGAAAGGATGCTCCATTGCAAGTTTTTCCAGTGGATTTGCTCTCAGTTCGGGACTCCAATGATCAGTGCATTCGCCTCTCATTGAAACTTTCAACTAGAAGTGTTTTTGGTCCCCGGTACCTCATCCTTGGGCTTAGTCGATGGATGCATTCAGTCAAGATTGGATTGAATTGCACCTCTATGCCTTTCCCTAATTCATCTGTTACCCATAGTTCTGGATAAGATTCGATCCCCTACTTGAGAGTTATTGGTAGCCCCAGACTGGCTGGCCAAACCATGGTTTCCTCTTCTACAGTATCTTCAAGAGAGTCCACCTCTGCCTCCTCCTCCATGGCTATCTCTGCTGAGGCCTCCTTGATCCAACATTCTTTTCCCAGACTTTCCAAAGCTCAAACTTCATGTATGGAATTTATGCAGCCTTTCACACAGCATTGCAATTTAACTTCTAAAGTTGCCTTGTATGCCTCAATCTATCCATAGACCCACAATGGCCATTTATCAACAGAAATGACACACTTATAGCCAATGGTGTCTCATGAGGAATTTGATCCCACTCCACTCAAACGTGCCCACCATATTTTGTTTTTTGATTCGGGTCTAGCTTCATCTACTTTCGTTATATATAAGGCAGCTTTATTGACTATTTTTCATTATTCTAAACATCGGAAAGTTTTTGACTCCCCAGTGCTATCTGGCCCTCTCCAATCATTTAGAGTCCTTCTTCCCAAACAGCCTTTTCACTTACCGAACTGTAATATTAGAGTTGTATTACATGCTTTGTCTTGACATCCTTTCGGGCCTTTAGCCTCATGTACCATGTATCACCTTTCCCTTAAAGGATTTTTTTTTTTTGTTGCTGATATGTGGACATCATAGGTCAGAGTTGTTCGCACTACATGTGCACAGGACTCTATCACTCCACTTCTGTCCTGCTATACCCTGATAGTTCTTTTCCTTCTAAGACTCTGGCAGCCAGAGAAGGGGATAAATCCTTCGCACCAATTCTTTTGGCAGCTATTTCTCACCTCTACAACTGTTCGGACACTGATTTTTTGTTATGTCTTGTCAGAGTCCTGAGGCATTATGTGGCTCACACTAACTCCTTTCGATGTGATAGAACTCAATTCTTTATTCATTGGAATCCTTCAATTTCCCAATATTTATCCCCAATTACTTTTACAAGGTGGATTTGCAAATGGAACTATAGTGCTTATTCTGGACTTTCTTTACAGGTGAGGTAACTTCTGAAAGTCACATCTTATCAGATTCCTCACATTTCCATGTCTTTAGCTGCCATTTGAATTACTTTGTAAGAGCTGGTGTGTGGCCTTCTAGCAATACTTTTCTCTCACATCCTGCACACAATCTGCATTTTCTTCTTCTGAAGGTTTTCTACCCCCTATGGCCATTTTGACAACATCTGTTAGATTATAATGAGGAGTGAGTATTTTGTCCTCCTCTTGTCTCTTTACTTTCCAGGGTCCCTTACCTATTATCATATTATGCTGGACCACCACAGTATCGTGAGTGAAGTTAAAGAGGATCCTGCCTGTCCCTGCTGATCATCGGATTGAATTAATCGGTGTCGGTTTGCTTTTAAAAATTTAGGGAACTTGGTTCACTTACTTCACTGTTTCCTAGCACTCTTCCTCAGAACTCCCCAACATGCAATACCCCCCCCCCCCCAGATTCTATTAATGGAACTAGGGAGTCTTAACCACACCAAGTTTCCAGTCACTTGGGTGGTGGACAGAGGCTTTTCTTCCAGAGTGTTGTTTTCCTCCACTTTTGGAGAAGAGGGCAAAATTGGGGGCCCTCCTACTTGGGTCCCTAGATGTTTTTTCCCAGATTTGATGACGAGGAACCCACTTTGAGACTAATAATGCTTGGAGACAGCTTGAATGGGTAATAAATAAAATGTTTAATATAAATTTAACATAACAGCAAATGTACGTTTTGACGAGGTTTTTGTCATCATCAGGTACAAGGAGCTTATAATGACACAGATATATGTGTGTGTATATATATATATATATATATATAT